AATTAACAACTAATTGCTTAATTTTGCTTTGCTTTAGTGAACAAGATTTTACCAGGACTACTTTCCAATCTCATAAAAATAGTTGTTAGACAACATAAATTGAATGCACTATTTGAAACTAGGTACGTGTAGAAGAAAAAGAAATTTCCTGTAAAACCCTGAAAGGGAGCGCACACCTATAGCTCACAGGGTGAGTCAGAGGGTGTGGTCAGAGCAGAAATAGAAAATTGATAACCACCAAGCAGGCCAAACAAACCAGGACCATGGAATGGCCATTCAAATTGCACAGGGACAAAGACTAACAGGCATCTGGTGCTTTGAGGTTAGTATTTCCTCCCCAGCAAGGAAGAGGTCATGGACACAAGAGCTAAGCACACAGTGGCATTTTCTCCCTCTACTGCCCTCCCTTCCACTGCTTGGCCCCACCTAGGACATAGGCCTGTGCTATCTCCGACCTGCCTTGAAAATGACCTCCCTGCATGTCCTTGACTACAAGCAGACAGAAATGTGTCAGATTAATGCTGGTGGTCAGTCAATAGCTCCCTAAATCTTACAGGCAAAGTGCAAGCTCTTTAGCCAGCACCAAAGCCTGCAAAGACGTGAGCTGGCCGACCTGAGGTTTCCTGTTCCTAAGTCCTCCTGCTGCTTGGTCCTCTCAGTAGATTGTAAGTATGCATGACACATTCCTGCCTTTATTCTCACTACCTAAAATTCACATTTCTGTCTCTCACCCTTCTCTATGTTTTACTGTCCTTCCTGAACCTTCTGACCCTTCTGAAAAATTTCCTTGAGTACCCTACACGTGTAAGTGGCTCCCGGGGCTGGTAAGATGCACTGAGCAGCCCAATGCCAAGCGATGTGCTGTGTTCCCTTGAAGGTTATTTCATGGACCTCTACAAAAATCCTTTGTACTGAGAGTTGATTTCTTGGTGAGAAGTGATGGAAACTCCAACTCAAACTACATTAACACATGTAAAAGTTCTTTATCTCACTTAAATAAAAAGTCTAAAGGAGGAGATAGTACCAATGATGCCCAGAAGTCAGTCTTTCATCATGTCTAGTACCAGTTTTTATAAGTGGCTGCTTTCTAAGATTCAAAAAGAGGCAGCAAAAAAATTTGGGCTCTATCTCTTAACACCCAGTCCAGCAGAAGGCATCAGGAATCTTTTCCAGAATTCCCAACAAAGGTGTAATTTCGACACCATGGCTATGAATCGGTGATTCGGCCATCTATCTCTCAGTCACACCTGTGACCAGAAGAAGCATGCCCGTGGCTGATTTAGCCCAGTCTCACAGGCCCTGCGCTGGCTGCCTCTTGGGAGCATGCAGGCCAAAGGTGAGGTGAAGGGGGTGGTGGGGGAAGAAACAGTACTGTAAAAGGAAACAGAGTTGCTGGAAATCCAATACTCACATATGTTATGTGTGAGTCCTTGAAACATTTTGATGCTAAAAATAAAATGGGTCCTGCTTGTCTCGACAGCATGGAAAATAACTTTAATAATAAGTTTGAATGACAGATAATCATTTGGAGGTCAGCCTTAGTAAGTATTTTCTACATTGTCTTCAGTTTGATCAGAAGATAAAAAAAATGTGAACTTACTTTCCAAGTCAATTCACAAAGCATGGTTCAAAATAAGACACAAATAAGATTTCATTTTGTTGTTGCAATTAGTGCAAAATGAACTTTAAAATGTTCTCATTTTTCCCTACATATGATTAGACTAATTATCTGAGTAGATCTTCTTCTACTAGTTCCAATCTACTCAGATATTGTGGTCTCACGTCTCTGCTGAGTAGATACTTTTCATGTGACAAAGGGTTACTTAGCATCTGGTAGTTGCAAAGTAAATTCTCATGTCTTGAGCTTTGCAAGATGGCACCTTTTTTAGTTTTTTCCCCAGTGTGGACCATACAATAAATGTTCAACATCTCCTTCCTCTCCTTCCCACAGCACAGAGGAGGTGAAGTATTGGCATCAGAGGCAGGAATGTTTATATCTTACTTTCAATGGATGCTGCCTCTTCTCACCTGCAGTCCCACATCAGAGTGGATGGGTGTGGGTAAAGAAGCCTGCCACAGCCAGTCTTGTTTTTCATGTTTTTGAGAAGCAAGAGGTCATGAGAAAGGATCCGAAGGGTCATCTGGGAGACCCTCTTCCTCAGTGCAGGACCCCACCTGCACCCCCAGCATGCTCACACATTATCCTGCAAACATCCTGCACCTTGCTGGTGACAGACAGTTCACTGAACTGGACACTTGAGGCTAAAAAGTTCTTACGTCCCATAAATCACATTTATCAGTGAAAAACAAGAAGGTTGTGTACCTCCCCTTGTTTCCAAACCTCTCCGGAACTCTAGGCCAAGTTCTCACTTATGCAGCCTCTGCAACTCAGGGAAAAGCCATCTTTGATGGCTAAGAGATAACTGGGTGAGGGGTCAGTCTCCACTAGGCTTTGTGTCTCTGACATTCAGAGGCTGGGCAGCCAGTTGCACTGGCCTGCTCTGTGGACTCAGCCCTCGAAGTCTCCTGGTTTACAAAGAAAAGGAGGTGTTTCTTTTGGCCTCACAATGCGTGAATCAAAAATGAAGACCTTCTTTTAATCAAATATCAACTAACCCTTTTTTCCCCCAGGCTCTCTTATTCAATCTTCTGACCATCACTCTCTTACTCTCTTCCACACCTTCCCCTCTTTGCTTCTCTCTCATTCTCCTTGTCTCTCTTTCCTCTTCTTTCTACTTCTCTCTTTCCAGAAACTAGATTTCATACTATCTATCCTACAGGTGTCGGTGGCGTGTGTGTCTTGTTGATAGAGAAATGCCAATCTTACTACTTCACTCCTTGACAACAGGCCTAAGCTGGGAGAAGCAGAATCCACAAATCAAGCACTGACACTCGGGTCAACATTGAGAAGATGATGTGGTGGTCAAAGCCAGAACACCTCTAGGAGGTAGGGGACGCTCCAGATTAGTGCCATCTAGTGGTTTTCTGGAGTAAGGGCTGCAGCCCAGGTTTCTGCCCAGGGTCAAGGGCAGAAAGGGGAAGGGAAGGTAAACACATCTGCGCTGTGCAAATGTGCAGACTTCTTTTGAAATACCCCAATGAGCAAACACTGTTTGTCATTGTCTTGTTTAATCCTCACAATAGCCATGTGTTGTCGGTGTATTATACTATGTGTTGTACAGTTGCTGAGGGATTAAGCACCATGTAGGGGTGCTTAACTCTCATGAGCCAATTCTGTGTCCATAACACACTTCAAGGAAACTATGAAGCTGCAGAGACATGGTTTATAGCATTTGGACTCTAGGATTTAGTAGGAGTAATACTTTCTCATGGTTTTGAAGAGACTCCAAAATGTTTAGAAATGTAGTAAGAAGATTTCATAAATTTAGAGTTGAATAATATTGTAACATACATTTTAGGTACATAGCTTTCTATTTCCATAATTTAAACTGATAAAATTTACAAGATCCACTTGTGTTTTTAATAAAGACTGTACCTACACTAACTCTTCAGTTTTCATGTGGGAAAAGTTGGTTTACATTTCTGTTTCCAAAATTGTGTTTAGTTAGTTTTTTCATCAACAGTGAAAAGAATCCTCCATGACTAACTTCAAGTAAATGTCAACATTATGAAAAAGCCCACCAAAAGAGTTGGCTGGTTTCAGTGAAATCCCATTGGAGTCTATTAAAGTGAAATAGTAGAAGTTTCTCATATATATCGCACAAAAAAGGCTGGAGACCACCTCAGAAGACCCCCATCCAGAGGTGAGGTAAACCAATTCATTGGTTCAACAGACCAGCATGAATATAAGAGATTGAGAATGGACACTATACACTTTCTTGCTCTATCATGGTCTCTCAGAGATCCTAACCTCCAGGGCCTGGCACTTTATGACCACACAGAATGTTCTGTGAGGCTACTGATATGTTAAAGGTAATCGCTACTGGACCAGCCCATGCAACAGCAGATATGACTCTTTTACTCACCCAGCATCACTGTACAGCTCTGTTGGGCCCTCAGTGCATGTCTATGGCTGTCGCTTTCCCACCACATGGGAAAGCTGGGCTTATGTCAAGGGCACTGAGCCCAAAGCAGTGGCTTTCCTTGGAGGGGAGATTCATTGTTGGTCCTATGAAACAGTCCTTGTAGCTGAACTTCTTGGTAGCTCTCAATGTTCTGGGACTCTCTACCCAAGTAGAGAAAAGAGTCTTAAAGAGACTTTGTTATGTAATGAAATGGAGGCTACTGGGAAACTTCCTCTGTCTAAATCCCTGTGTATTTTGGTCCCGATTTAATAATGATCCTGAAATACCTCCCTGACTTCAGATAAACTGTAGTATTTGAAATGAATCTCCAATTTCTCACTAGGGTGTGAAGAAAGAGAAGGAAAGACAGAATCCAAAGACAGTAATCCAACTCTCCCTGAAAGTCCAAAAGTCTGCACAAGAAAGCATAGGAAAGTCTTCGTGCAATTGCTCCAATCCTCTAGGCTGAGTGTTCATGTTGGGTGAGGATTTACTGAGTCAGCAACTGGTTAGGGAGTCCTTGAGCCCTTTCCACTACTGAAATGGCAAGAAAAGAAGGAGACAAGCGGGATTAGGGGAACAGGGGGAAACAGGGGAGAACAGGGGAACAGGGAGGGAAAAAGGTAAAAGAGTGGTTATGGTGGTGGAAGAATGGAAAAAGAGAAAAGAAGATATGAAAAAGAAAGTGAGGAGGGGAGAGAAGGAAGAAAGGTTGTAGATAAGGGAGATAAAAGAAAAGAAGAAAAAAAACAAAACCCCACAAAATTCCTCTCTCCAGTCCCAGTTGAGGAGAAACAGTGTCCCTTGCAGATGTGCTGGCCCAGCCCCAGCAGGACTCGGTGCCCAGCTGTACAGTGATGGAGTCAGGGAGGCTGGATCTCCTTGTGTGCGCAGCAGGGCGGGTCTCTGGTTTCAAGGTTTGCCTGGCCAAGCCTGGCCGCTGGGGGCCACTGGGAGCTGGCGCGTTGCCTGGTCCCTGCAGGCCTGGTCTGCTCTCTCTGCGAGTGAACATGTCCTCCTGGGTTGCAGTATGGATGGTCTGTGGGAAGACAGTGAGAAATATCCCCCGAGGAGTGAGACTTGGGTTTCCAGCTAAACTGTCAAGGTCGTGAGAACCTCGGTGTCATGTGTCTAGCCCTTGGGAGGACAGCAAAGGAGGGAAACACAATTCGAAGTCTGGCCTAAGAGAAACTTCTGTGCTTTGTTGTCTCTGTTTTCTTCTGATTAATAAGAGATCCTTTCCCCTTTCATTTGCTTTGTCCAAATCCAGGTCAGAGACTGTGCCATGGTGCTCTACAAGGAAACAAGGACTTTTTTCTTTTTTCTTTCTTCCCATGCATTGGCCCCACCAATTGACAAGAAAGGTTGAGTCAAGCCTTTAAAAGGTTATAGAAATCCAAATTTGACTGTGAAACAGAAAAAACAAAAGACCTTTAATAGGAGAGAGGTTAAATAGAGAGAGAGATTTTCTCAGGGTCAGAAGACACAGGTTATTTACATTTCAGGTGCCAGCTTCTTTAGGAAGAAGAGGAAAATTCTCCCCCTCTAATCTCTCCATTGTGTACTCAAGGAGCAAGGATTCCATCAGAAGGGACCTCAGAGATTATCTGTTCCAATCTTTTCATTTTCAGGATATTGAAAACGTGGCTGGTGAGTTAAAGGCCCTGCCCGGCTGTGCCAGGATGCTCGCAGTTCAGCAGGAGGCCACTCGAGTTGCACTGACTGGGCACTGACCAGGTCAGTGTGGCTATAACAATGGGCTCAAACTCCCAAAGAGACCACGTTTTGCATTTTGACACAGGCAAAGGGAAGAAGAGAGGGAATAGTCTATTCACCACAGGGTTTTTTATTTAAGTGCAGAACATAATGGGAATCTGCCTACACTTTATTAGTTGAATCTTATTATTTTACCCAAGTATGTATCTGGTGCCTGTGAAGTTACAAAAAGAAAAGAGGAGGCATCCGTGCTTTGTAGTCCCATCTGTGACAAAGAAGATACTAACACCACTGTCCCCGCCAACTGACATTGGAGAAGCAGCCTGACATTTCTGGCCTCAGTTTCCTCATCTGGAAAAAGAGGTCCTTGGAATTCTACCTGGACAGTACTTTTTTAAGTTGACATTAACCCAAATTTAGTCTTGATATTAAATATAAAAATTAATTTATCTTGTTGTATCATCTGTTTTTGTTTCCTGGGAGCAATAAATGCTTGTTGCATGAAGAAATGACTGAATGTTAAATTTCCATAGACCATGTCATTCCAAACTATGCTCTATCCTTTGCTTTAGCAACCTGGAATCTCAAATGAAAGCCATGACAATGGCCTACAAGACCCACAGGCTCTACAGTCACCCTCCTTGCATGCAGGATCAGAATCACCTGCTTCTCCTCCCCTTCACTCACAGTATTTAATTCACTCAGACTCCTTGGGCACAGCAAAAAGCTTTTACCTCAGGGCCTTTGCACTTGCTCTTTTCTTTGCCAAGAACTCCATTCCCTTTTTTGTCCTTCTCCTTCACCGTCAGATGTCACCTTTTCAGTACTGCATCCCACGAACATCAAATTTGAAGTGGTTCCACCTTACCTCTGACCACAGAACTTTATTCAGTTATAGATCCCACCTCTAGCTGATATCCTATATATTTTTTTAAGATTTATTTTTATTTATGATTACAAGAACTGGTGTACAGGCCAGAGGTGTAGGGGGGTGGGAGGTTTCACCAGAGACAGAGTGGGGAACAGAACCGGCAGACTGACTGAAATACATTGCAGAGGGGAGCAGTGGGTGAGTCAGGAGAGGTCTGCTGCGCCATGTGGGTAGCTCCCTGGCCAGGGCTCAAACTCACACTGCAGAGGCTGCAGAGAACTTCACAGTGCTGCTCTCAACCCCTTGCACCACCAGGGAGGCCCCTCCTATATATTTTATTTAATTATTTTATCGATGCCTGTCCCTTCCACTTTCTCCTCACCAGAGGGCAGAGAGGTTTGCCCATTTTGTCACAGCCATTTCCCTAGGGCCCAGATCATGCTAGACAGTCAACAAGTACTTGATACACATGACGATTTTGAATAAGTGAAACCTATAATTATATACTACTTTATGTCTCAACCAAATCCTTTGAGAATCAGGTTGTTAAATAAATAAATCACGGAGGCTCACATTAATTCAGCATTTCTTAGGTACTAGTTTTTAAGTATTTTATATGTGTTTATGATGTAGGAAGCATCCTATGAACCAAAGGCGCTATCAGTCATGGTCTGTTATTGCTCTTTCCTTGATCAGTGCCTCTACACACTGGAGTTAGTCTCAGCACTACCACTAGGACAGCCCTCCACAGAGGCCTAAGTTCAATTCCCAGGCCAAAGAGCTGACCCACATTGTGCAGCAGACCTCTCCTGTTTCACCCACTGCTCCCCTCAGCAGTGTATTTTAGTCAATCTGCCTGTTCTGCTCCCCACTCTGTCTCTGGTGAATCCACTCACCTCCCACACCTCTGGCCTACACCCCAGTTCTTCGATGCAAAAATAAATTTAAAAATCTTAAAAAAAAAATGACATTGATTTCTTTGATTCTATGATTCGTTCTAAGGTGGTAAGTTGAGGATCTGTTTACTATTTACTATCTGTTTACTATTCTAATAGATCTTTATTGTGTCTACCAAGTAAGGTGATTTGTCTAGGTCTCATGGCCTTCCAGGTGCAATGCTTCCAGGGCTTAAAACTGGGGAATATTTGGGCAAATCTTTTTGATCATGAGTCATTTATCCTAATAAGCAGGCTTTTATTTGTTTTAAAGCTGCTGTGGTCAGGTGAATAACCATCCCCCAAGATGTCCACATCCTAATCCCATAATCTGTGAGTGTTTACCTTACATGGCAAGAGCAACTTTACAGATGTGATTAAATTAAGGATCCTGAGCTATGGAGATTATCCTAATCCTGGTGTATCCAGCTAGACCCAATGCAACCACAAGGATCCCTGTAAGAAGACATTAGGGCCAAGGACTGGGAAAGCAATCTGATGACAAAGCAAAGAGAAGAAAGGCAATGTGCCCAGGGAACCAGAAGTTGGAGTGAAGAGCTTTGAATAAAGAGGCCACACACCAAGGATGTGGGTGACCTCTAGAAGCTGGAAAACACCAGGAGACAGATTCTCTTCTGAGGCTGGCAGAAAAACACAGCCCCGCCAACATCTTTGTTTTTAGACATTTGACCTCCAGAATTGTAAAATAATAAATTCATGATGTTTAATTCACTAGACTTGCAGTAATGTGTTCCAGAAGCCACAGGAGACTAATATGGTTGGTTGCATTACTAACAGGACTGGGCTGAAAGGTGAAGAGGATGAATCAACATAGTCATTGGCCTCAGGAACTCTGGGGCCCAGTGAGGAAGGTAGACTTTTAAACAACACATGCCCTCATGAGTTGTGGGGGTTGTAAACACCACGCCTGCTGTGCTAGGAGCTGGACAGGCTGTGGGAGGTGTTCACTCCTACCTCAGACTAGATCAGAGAAAGCCTAGAACTTCTTTCTCTGTGAGGATTTACAATTCACTGTTAATTTCTTTCACTCTCAGAATTTATAGTTTCACATCTTCTTTAGGTTTGCCTCTGAGATCTCCAGTTAAAAGGGGACATGAGAAAAGCTAAAACTTCTACAAGAATACATGGCACAAAAATTGGTGTGACCTTGGCATAAGAAAGAACTTATAGGGCCTCCCCAGTGGCGCAGCGGTTGAGCACTGGGTTGCGAAGCTGCCTCAGCCTCTGCAGCTCCCGTTCGATCCCCGGCCGCCGGGAGAGGGTCCCACAAGGTGCGCAGACCTCTCCTGCCGCCCGCTGCTCCCCTCAGCAGTGTACATCATCTGTCTGCCAGTTCTGTTCCCCGCTGTGGCTCGGGTGAATTCTCTCACCCTCCCGTACTTCTGACTATACCCAGTGCTTGTATAAATAAATAAATAAATCTTTAAAAAAAAAAAAAAGGACTTATAAATACAGTACAAAAGAATGACCCATAAAAGAAAAATCTGATAAACTGACTCCATCAAAATTAATATCTTCTGGTCCTCAAAAGGCAATGTAAGGGCCTCCCCGGTGGCGCAGTGGTTGAGCGCTGGGTTGCAAAGCTGCCCGCAGCCTCTGCAGCACTGGTTGGATCCCCGGCTGCTCCCCGGCCACCAGAGGAGGGTCCCACATGGCGCGCAGACCTCTCCTGCCGCCCTCTGCTCCCCTCAGCAGTGTACTTCGGTCCTTCTGCCTGCTCTGCTCCCCGCTCTGTCTCTGGTAAATTCTCTCACCCTCCTGTGCTTCTGACTGTACCCAGTGCTTGTATAAATAAATCAAAAAAAAAAAAAAGGAAAGAAAAAAAAAAAAGCAATGTAAGATGATGAAAAGACAAGCCACAGGCTGAGAGGAAACATTTTCACAACATACCTGGTGTGCCATTTGCCTCTAGAATGCATAAAGAATACTCAAAGCTCAATATTAGGAAAACAAGCTCACTGTTTTTAACAAGCAAAAGATTTGAGCAGACATATCACAAAATACTCTCACAGCCTGCTGTTGACGAGAAGTCTTACCAATAATATATTCAATAAATAGTCTATTGACAAATATTTGGGCATTATATGTATCATATAACTGTATTCTTATAATACCGTAGGCTTAAAATGTTAAGAAAATCAAAAGGAAGAGAAAACACATTTATAGTACTGTACTGTATTTATTGATAGCATAAATGTATGTCACCTGTCTACAAGAAAATCCATGTGTAAGTGGTCCTGTGCCCAAACTTCTGTTTTCAAGTTGGGTCAATTGTATATGCATTTGCCAAAGCTCATGAACTGTACAGTATGAAGGGTGACTTTCAGTGGTTACAAATTAGACCTGCCTAAGCCTGACTTTAAAATGTGAGGCCATTGAGGAAGAGGAAGAAGCTACGTTTTAAGGTGTTATTTGGAAAACGTCACTCCTCTCTTCTATCCAGGGTGGGGTCTGTTATGAAAGGGACACACCAGTCTGTTTCCTCACTTATAGGAGGTGCGTGTGACCAAGGGCTGCATTATGACTTTCCTGGACCCCTACCTCCACTAAGGGAAGGTTAAAGATTATAGTTTATGACTGTGCTGAAATAACCACTTTCCTTCAGATTTTAAAGGAAATTAACATATTTTCTGTGACCCCCTAGAAGTGTCATGAGCCCTAGGCGCTGTGCCTAATGGAAAATTTGGCCTTGAATGTGACCTAACCCTTCCAGAAAGGAAAATCAGGCTAATCATTTCTTACAAGTGAGTGACCACGAGTAGCAATTATGCATTCAGTTCCTAGTACTGCCATTGATTTTCCAATAACTTCAAATGAGTTAGTTAACCTTTCCTAGGTCTCAGTTCCTCAATGTGAAGAAAAG